CATAATAAGACCAGTTCTCTGATTGATTTTAAACTCTATGATCTTTATTTACCAAATTTGTGATAAAGAAATAATTTAAGAAACTTGATTTACCTCCTGGGTTGACCGTGAGTTTCCTCTTTAATTTAAATAACTTAATTATTGAGAAAAGTAAAAGATTAAAGAGAAAAAGAGTTTTGGAACCAAGTAAATATAATTATTGTTTTGGTGAATATTGATAAGGATTCACTTATTCTATTGGCCTTCAAAATTATCACGTACTACTTTAGATATCTATGACTAGCTAACATATTTGAAACTAAAACAAGATTAGATTTGTTTTCAATATTTTGGCCCGCAAGCTAAGTTCAACTCAACCACACAAGGTTAACGAGCTGACTTGGGATGGGCTAAAAAGGCTGATCAGATCACACTAAGCTAGTAAGTCAATGGGTTTATTCCACAGGCTAAATTCATTGGCGATTCTACTTTGAGCTATCGTTGGTCAAGGTCTATTTTGTAAAATTTTGCTCTATTCCTTGATTCGATCCAAAAATATCTTTTTCGTCGAATATTTTTGTATTTCCATATATACCCTTTTCCCCACCCTACTAGTATAAATGGGTGCTCATACACATCCAATTCTCTCCATGTGACAACCCAAAAACACCAAGAGGAAAATAAAGGCTTCACTTGAGTTTAGAACTCATGACCAACTTGTTACATGTATCGTTCTCTTTTCTATTGATTCTTCTAACATAAAAGAAACGTCTTACAAAAATTTTGCTTCACATTTTCTTTATTCTGTTTTCTCATTTTCCAAGAGGCTGTAGATTGGAGAGCAACTTGGTCCCATTTTGACAATTGTTGAAAACAAGAGGCAAGTCTACTTTCCTTCTTTAGATTTTCATTTCTTTTTCGCTAATTATTTCGCTTACATTGATATTGTTCAAGAACTCTAAACAAGTGCACGTTATACTAAAGACTGTAACATAATGTTGAAAATTTTAATGTCAATTGAATTTCTCGAAAATAGAATATCATTTTAACATTATGTTTGATATTGAAATATCCTTTGAATGAACAAAATAGAAAATGTGTTCCTCTATGAAGAAAATTCAATGATTTTTTTCAATTTTCTGCCTGAAATTGATTCGCGTAGTAGGCTCAGAGAAAAATTCAGAAGAGCGTAAATACGTATGTATTTTCTTTATCTGAAGATTGAATTCTCGCAAGAGTTCAAGAACACTCTACGGAATTAGGGTTTAAATCTTCATTTCTTTGAAAAGTACTTAAATCTGTATGCACTTTCTAGAAAGTAGAAATGATAATTTTAATGAATCTGAACCGTAAGTAGTCGAGAAGTCGAATCTTTAGGATTTTCACCTAATAAGCAGCGAATTAGAGCGCCGAGAACTTGTTTTCTGTTTCGTACGGACAAGAAGACCGAGTAAGCTTGATTCAGTTTCTTGATTTTTTGGTGCTTAGAATTCGAAATTTTTATTGCCGCTACCTTGTTCTGTAATTCCACGGCCGTTTGTGCAATAGAGCTAGCTTCAAAGGCGGCGTGGACAGTTAGATCGGTGGCTTTTGTTTTACAAAAACTGGAAAACTCTTGAACCAAGAAAATTGTAAAATAGTTTTTGAAATTTTTTAAAAAGTTCGAAGAAACATTCTTTAATGAAAATTAAGCTATCGTGACAATTCACCAATCTTGGGGTAAACAATCTTGGTTGAAAAATAAATTCTGATTTTTTCTTTTCAAAACCCATAAAATTTGAAGAAAAAAAAATCACCAGTTTTTGAACAAACGCCACAATTTAGTGTGTCTGGTATGATGGAAGTCATATTTTCCTCAAAAATTTTGTTGATTGGTTGGTCAGTGAAAAATATATTAGCCATTTGACCATATATCTTGAGCAGTGATCCACAAATTTTAATAATGAAAAGTTGGATGTTTTGCAAATTGGAGTAATCCTACTTGAGAAAGTAGGACAAGGAAATGCAGGTTAAGAGCGCCTTAATAAAGTAGGGAAGGGTCAAGAATCAAATGAAACCAAACCAACTCAGTTATATCTTAAGAGATATAAACCTATTTGAGAGATTGAGCGTCAAAAGAATATGTATCTAGATTCATACATGTCTATATTTATTGTACTTAAATAGGGAAAATCCTATAGCATATTCTAGAAGATATTTTAGGATATTTTGTATTTGACCGTAGACTATTTGCTTTATCTAATTAGAATAGAGATTGATTACTAGATATTATACATAGCCTACCAACTCTGATAACATTGTAGTTTTGGAACTATTTTTTGATAGATTATACTTGAGCCCTTGTTTGAGTTTATTTGATAGCTTCATCCCCTATGATTGAAATTTGATATATTATAATTTAGCCCTTGTTTGAGTTTACTTGATAGCTTCATCCCCTATGATTGAAATGGTGTTATTACACATTCACTTTTTTAGTTACTCATTTTGATATCTACATTCAAGAAGTAAGTTTGTCTTTCAAATCTTTCGAAATATTAGTGTTTGTCGTGACGGATCATTTGTTTTTCGAGGTTTGGTTAGTGAATAAAAAATATTTTTGATAAAAATATATATCAAAGATTAATACTAATAGTAGCAAATTGGAGAGTGTTTTGAAGAAATTTTTTGTGTTGAAGATTAATAATAATATCTAAATTTTGTTAGAGCGGGTAATATTGAGTTAGAAATTGAGATAGTTGTAAGAAAAATAACTTTTATCCGTACAAGTTTTACCAAAGTGAAAGGTAAATTATATAGGATACTTACAAGACCGACACTGTTATATGGGAGTGAATATTGGGTTGCTAAAGTTCAACACATCCAAGATAAGTATCGCGGAGATACGAATGTTAAGATTGATGTGGTCATACAAGATTAGAGATGACCACATTTACCAGAAGGTGCAAGTAGCATATACCAATGATAAAATGAGAAAAGGTCACTTGACATAGTTTGATCATGTCTTGCGTCGACCTCCAAATGTTTTGGTCAATAGGTGTGAAACCATGCTGAATAAAGAAGTTAAAAGAGGCCGAGGTAGACTTAAAATCACATGAAAAGAAGTTGTCCCGAAACACCTACAATCTCATGGAATCAATGTTGATTTAGCGAAAAATATGGCATAATAAAAGAAAAAAACTTGTAAGTGACACCGATTAGTTGGGAATATATTTTAGCCATGTTAATACATCTAATTTAGGTCTTATGCTTTCTGGGAGTCTTTTAGCCTTATTAGAGATTCTTATGCCAGTAGGAAATATAGAAAACTTGTGCTACTCTTAATTTTTGTTTTTATTTTTATTTTGTATATTGTTGACATGAGGTAGAATTTAAATTGGAAACATGGTCAATGAGGATTCATGTAGTTGATCATAACTTGTTTGCGACTAAGCATGATTCTTGTTTTGTTGCTGTAAAGTAAGAATTTTTCCAAATTTGAGTAATCCTGTCTAAAGAAAGTAGAAATGCCAGAGTAGAACTCAAAAAATGCAGGTTAAAGAACACCTTAACATAGTAGGAAAAGGCCAAGAATCAAATGAAACCAACTTGGCTGTAATTAATTCTTAAGAGATAGACACCTATTTGAGAAATTGAGCTTGAACTGATTTCGAATTTGTTGTTTTCCTTTGTGCTCTTTCATTGTCCCGTTCATGTATTTGGTTGGCTGAAGCTACTTAGTTCGACAGATTGCCTTCAACCGTTTAAAACACCAATGTAGCGCGTACACATTGTAAGAAATGGTATTATCTTAGGCTTAAATTTATAAATCGGGAGAAACAACATAAGAGAAAAACATACCTTGTGCCATGAAATAAAGTAAAACCTGTATGTATTTAATAGTTCTCTGCCTTTGTGTTCACCAGCTAATGCGGAATAGATAACCATTAGTGTCTATACAATCTTCATTTTGCCATCAACATGTTAGGGTTTTGATTTACAAGATGTGAACTTATTAATATAGAGTCTTGTTCCACTTTCCTAACTCACTTTTAAAGTGTCTCTTCATGATCTTATCCATCAAGAGTTATAATGAATAAGGACTATTAACTCTTCATCTACATTCAAATATGTCAATATACAATGTATCTGCATTAATATATGGATAGACATCCATTAAGAATCTTGAATGTATCTAAATAGTACTTGACTTTGGTTAATGTAACTTAATTAATTCATATAATGCACATATATATTTTCCATATGAATGTACTTTGTATATAGATGATTCCTTCGTTTAATCTTGACAAATTTATGACTTTGATCATGTATACTTGAATGAAACTTGGTAAGATTCTTGACTTTGGTCATTGTACTATTAACTATCTATATACGTTACATGTAAATTAATCTTCTAGAAGTTCAAGTATATGTAGAGGAGATGTATAAATACATACGTACGGTCAGGAAGGCCATATTTTGCTGACAGATGTATCAGAAGATTTTCAAAGTAGTTGCTCTGAAAGCTTACAGTGTTTGCTTGACATTCAGAGGGGTCTGGAATCTGGTTCCTGATGAGACTTGTGCTAGTAAAATCATTGCTCTGTGTCAATTTCCATTACTATATTATGCAATTTTGCTTTTCCTTGGCGTCTAGTACTTCCTCTATAACTTTTATACATTTCCTCTTCTATTATTATGCAATTTGCTTTCCTTTAGAGTCCAATATTACCTCCGAACTTTGCCACTTACCCTCTGTGTAATTTATCAAATAATTTTGTAACTTTTTTTTGGCATGTATAGAAGGGCTGCTTAAGTGGATGCTAAAGGCTGGATAACCCTTTCACAGTTTCACTCAACCAACGCCTCCATTCATGCTTGACTCTGATTCACTAGCTAGACACAACATCCTATAAAACAACGATCTCTTCCATATCAAAGTCTTGAGTTCAAATACTACTCTTTGTTGCTTGAGGAACAGTGATATACTCAGTAGAAGACAAACTCTTCAAACTCATTCATACTTGTTCTTGTACTCATGAAGCATGCAGAATGCAAAAGAAGTACCGAATCCAACAGGTGAAAAGAAAACAGAATGGTTAGATTACATCTATGATGATCGCAACAAATTGGTAATCCCAGTAGGACCCAGGTTTCAGGTTGAAATTACAGATTGGACTGACCCACAGAAGGAAGATAAAGGCAAGCATAAAGAGAATGAATCTGATACTTCAAAATGGTTGGGTACACTAGTATGGCCAACAGAAAACAACCTAGGAAACAAGGAAGTTAACAACGAGTTGATTGGGGAAGGGAGAAATGAGTATTGTCCTTGTGAGTCCCCTGAATCTGCTGAATGTGTTAAAAGTCATGTTAAAGAAGAAAGGATGAAGTTGAAGTCTGAATTGGGGACAGCCTTTGATATCTGGAAATTTGATGAGATGGGAGAAGAAATTTCGAACTTATGGAACCCTGAGGAACAAAAAACGTTCAGCTCCCTTGTTAAGACGAATCGGATGACTCAAGGTAAAAGCTTCTTGAAACCAGCATTGGAATCTCTTCCTTCCAAGACTAGGCAGAACATTGTCAACTATTATTTCAATGTTCACGTTCCTCAGCGGATCAGCTCACAGACTAGGTCAGGTTGTAAAATAATTGACACCGATGATGAGGAGGGGGACGATCAGGCCCCTACTCCCAAGGCTTCTCGGAAAAGGAATCGATCGAAAAAAGGTGCATCCTCTAGTTCTAAACCTGCAAAGAGAAGTTACTTAACTGGTCGACGATGAGATTACAAGTATCATTACACATTCTTTTTTAGTTGACATAGAAATTGAATATACAAAGAGACATGTATTCTACTGTTCCCTCAGTCCCTCCTGGGAAAATTCTGGGATGGGGTTCACATTTTACATTGGTTGTAGAAAAGGTCACATTTTTTGGATAGGTTAGCACAACAACGCTATACGTCGTAAATACACCGATTACTACAATTTGTAACATTTGACAGGTACGTTGCTTCTTATTTGTTTCCTCTGTAAAAGAATCATATGGCTAACGCAAGATATTACATCCAGATTCATACATGGTCTGTTATCTCGCTTGGATTAGTATTTATCCTTATTATCCTACTACTTCCGGTCATACATTTCTTTCATTAGTTTACACTAGTCTGTTGCTAGTTGCACAGCACTAAACAGTTGACTACTATTACAAGGCTTATTTCCTGGACCTAGAGATAATTGCTGCGTCCATTTAGTGTGATTGGTATGTCAAAAGTCATTTTTCAGAAAAATGCTTAGTCAATTTTCGGGAAAATGTTATTCACGAGGGAATCGTTTTATGGTATTTTCTTTAAAAGGGAAAAGTGACTTCCCTTACTTTCGGGCGGAAATTATTTTCCTTACAACTACATGACTTTTAACTTCCTATTATTTGCTCCAACCAACAAGAAAACGTTATTATCAAAATTTCATCAAATACTTTCTAACTTGCTGATTTTATTATTATTTACTATATACTATTTTTTTTTTTTAAATGATCACTTACCAGTTACCAACCAACACTGGTTTTCGTAGAAATGACTTCTGTCACACGAAGCACATTATGAGTGCCATAAGTTAAATTTACAAGTAATAAAATTGAATAGAGGAATTATGATAAAATAACTATTTTGCTTTTATGTGGTTTGGATTGAAAATAATTTAAAGTTAAATTTCACAAACATTTTTTCTTCTTGAAATCTGTATTCTATAAAAATCCCCGCCGTTTATTTCTTAAATAAAGCTATAACCATTTCATCGCATTAAGCATGGTAACTCCTTCCGTTGATAAATGATAATAGTTCACAACCACAAGAATAGTGCACACTGAAAATACCGCTTTCACGCACAAAATAAATAGTTAGCACATTCATATGTTCAACAACAACAATAACTACCCAGTAAAATCCCACAAAATAGGGTTTGGGGAGGATAATGTGTATGCAGATCTTATTGTATTGGGAAAAATTGTATTTAAATATAAAGGTGACGTGTCGAGGCACGTAGACTGGTCAAATGGTCAAAGAATTACAACTAGCCAAGAGGCACAAGTTGCAACAGATACGAGCAAATGACAGAGGAAGAGGCACGGGCAGTTATTTAAATAACTCAGCGCCCGTACCTATCTAAGTCATTTATGTCCGAGAATCAAAAGGAATGAATCTGACAAATAAAAAGAGTGCAGATACTGCATTTAATAGGCATTAAATGTGGAATACGTTAGAGAATTTGTATTGAATGTAATGATTATATAACGTAGCATTCAATGTCTTTAATTACTCATAATAGCCTCATTATGATTTGGGCAAAACGTATATCTCCAAGATATCTATAAAAGGGAGATATCTGATCAATTGTAAGGACACGAAATACTATTGTAATAAACTTTGGTTTACTTGTTTTTCTCTTGATTACTCTCTTGCTACCTAAATTACTTCCTTTTATACATTCTTTTGATTATTAGTAACCCGTGTTCTTCTAAATTCTAGCTTTGACTAAAATTTCATTTTTTGGTTAAACAAATTGGTTCCGTTATCGGAAAACTGATAATTTATTTTCTTTTCACTTAACTTTCCTTGTTGGATCAATTATGTCGAACAACAATGACAACACTCAAGGAAACCAAGAGAACCAACAAAATCAGGGAGATCTACAGAATATTAACACTCAAGTTCCTATTCCACGAGACTCTCCACGACAATCTCGTGAGGGTACTCCTGATGGGTCTCAA